TGCCCAGCCCCCTGGCCGCGCGACATGCAAGCCTGGTGTTGCCTCCGGCACCCTCGTGCCTAGCCACATCGCTCTGCGACACGCAAGTTTTGTGTTGTACTCGACACCCCCGTGCCTATCCACACCTTGTGTCGCCTTCGGCACCATCGTGCCTGACCACATCGCCTTGCGACACGCAAGCTTTGTATTGGCTTCGGCACCCCGTGCTCGGCTACAAAGCCTTGCAATATACAAGCTCTGTGTTACATTTGGTACCACGCCACAATTAGGCGCGGGCTATGTCTTCGGAACCTCCGTCATCATTGGGCGAGAGCGATGCCTTCGGCACCCCATCATTATTCAGCGTGAGCGATGCCTTTGACACCTCGCCTTGCCTGGCCAACGGAGGAAACCACCATTTCAGCCCAAGGAACCACCCTTCAGTCACCTTGAAGGAGTCTCAAATTATGGATGGCCAAATATTCCAAATACACCAAGTGTATCACCATGCTTGGCATACATGGCTTTGCATGGAGCAGCCACCGTTCAACCCAAATGTGGCTACCACGTTTACAAAAAGATAAGACTATTATCTTTGTCCATTATCACCTAGAACAACTAGAATAATGCAAGCACCATTATTATTTTTATGAACGTGTTGACTCACCACAAGTGCAGCCCACCACCCAATTATTATATTTGTTCGTCTTTTACATGTTTTTCACCATATTGGAAAATGCATGTCTACAACAAATGAGCTTCAGCAGCTTCGAAATTCAACGGCACTCATGCTGAAATTCCTCAAGGCATCTGAACTTGCTGAAGCTAACACATCATCACAATCCCAACTCACCTTGCCGAACAGCAGAGGCTGGAAAAATTGAGGAGAGAGCATGAAAACCATCGAAGGGCCTAAGCTCCAAAATTTCAGCCCCTATGCTCCTAGCTCCAATGCTCCCAGCCCACTCCAAGCTCCAACTCGAATCTCCACTACGAAGGGTCCTAACTGCGGATCCAGCTCCAAACTTCCCTCCTTGTCAAATCCCAGCTCCAAAGCTTGCTGGACGTGGACATTCGATTCACCGCCCGGCTACGGAGATTGCCAAAAGCTCATGTCCTTGTCGATTCTCCAAGGCCCAGCTCACAGGATTCAGCTTCGGCCTAGCCTCAAATGCTTGCCGAATGGCCCAGCTCACGGTCCCAAGTCAAGACCACCAAACCTCACAAAGCCCAGCTCCAAATCCTAGCTAATTCCTAGCTAAAACGAGACCGGCTCCAATGTTCGCCAAATCCTTCAAGACACCTACCGAAGGTCCAGCTCTAGACTCTCTCCTTGCTGAAACTCATGGGAAATGTGACGTCATACCTTCCGTTCGGTAGGCCGTCGTCCGAAGCTGTGAGACCCACGCAAGGAACCACACCATCTCCAGACATTTGCAGAACCCCCAAGTCTACGACGGCGTCAACAAGAACCTCAAACCCGCCTCCCTAATTGATGAGCGACCCCCCCC